GACACACGTCTGCTGGCAGCACCTTCGTGTACCATAAACCATACCCCCGGCCGGGATTGAACCCGCGGTCATAGAGTCTCGAAACTCCACCCCGTCGCGTTAGCCACTAGACCAGCTAGCCACAATAAGATTCATCCAACTAGGTATATTTCTACACCATAGGAAGGTTAGCACAGGCACCACTGTGACCACAAATGCAAGTTTTTACAGACGAATCTCCAGCTAGCGTGGCCGTGACGAACTCTAGCTCAAATCCCTTCACTGCCGTCAACATGACTCAACATTGACGGCAGTGAAGGGACTTGAGCTAGAGTTCGTCACGGCCACGCTAGCTGGAGATTCGTCTGTAAAAACTTGCATTTGTGGTCACAGTGGTGCCTGTGCTAACCTTCCTATGGTGTAGAAATATACCTAGTTGGATGAATCTTATTGTGGCTAACTGGTCTAGTGGCTAACACGACGGGCTGGAGTTTTGAGACTCTATGACCGCGGGTTCAATCCCGGCCGGGGGTATGGTTTGTTTGCAATCGTGTCATTACGATTTCTTGATTCGTGTACCATGTTCCTAACACACGCCTGCACCCTCGAGTACCATGTTCCCAACACACGCCTGCACCCTCGAATACCATGTTCCCAACACACGCCACTCAGCCATATCTGCCCAGGTGTTTCACACATGTTTTTCCTCTTATTATTTCGGGTTTGTATATTAACAAGCAGTAGTACCAGGCTACGACTGTAGTTAAACTCAGCGTTCCAGTCGTAGTTTATTGGTGGATGGTACATATCAATAATTCCCTTGTTGAAAGATGATGGAAAGGAGGCTGGCGCAAGAGAAAGTGAGCTCCTGGTGTGCCCACACTCAGGCCGTCTCAGGTGCATAGGTCTATGGTAGCAAATATGTAAGATACTAGGAAGGCTTACATCACTCGGCCACACGCCACTGAGTCGTCCCAACCAGGAATTTACTAGCAAGAAGCAAAAATTTCACTACTTCCATAAGATCTTGGCACCGGCATCGTTCTCTACAACGAGAAACAGAAGTGAGACATAAAAACCCACCACAGAGGCAGAAGATAGAGACAAGCAAAAGAATTTGCACATGTAGAAAGTGATGACATCAGATGGGACGAGATGTTCGATGCAATTCCAGGTCACATATGTATGTAATAAATGAGCCGCTGATGAAGATTGTAGCTGAACATTTTCCAAGGCTGAGGGACTGTCTAGTGTTCCAAGGGTCAACGCCTTCCGGTAGATGACCACCTCAAAACTACTTAAGGATGAGGAACTGACCTTCTCATATTAACTCTCCACTGCTTATGCTGTCTCCTGCAGAGTAGGCGAAGCATTTCGACAAGATACTCAACTGTTACACATGTATCTTACTCATCCAGCCAGAGGGACTACTAAGAAAACTCATGAACCATATGAAGAACATCGATAATGTTCAAGCATAAGCTGTACCAGAAGAACGAGCTATGAGACTGCGTAATTAAATGTCAGACTTTATGCTTCCATTTCCACTTCGGATGCGACAGACACCGGTCACCAGTACACATGTGTGACAGACTATCCCTGAACATCCATTTTCCTTGCTCCTTTATCAATAATTCCTTGCGTAAATAACTCCGTATCAGAAGTGATACTCCTTCTTGTAAATGTGTGTCCATGAACAGGTTAATGTATTTTGCCATTTATTCCAAAATTTCTCTGATGTGTACTTTAACTTCACGAGTGTGCTATGACTGCAGTGTTAAAGGCCTTGGACTGCAGTTTCAAAAGTTTGTTGCACTGCAGTGTTAATAGTATGCTTCACTACATTGTTAAAATTATGTTGGGTTGCAGCATTATATATATAAATATATATATATATATATATATAATATATATATATATATATATATATATATTTTATATTATAACACTGATCTCTGGCTTAAGGAGACTCGAACCTACGAACCTTGGAACAAGGTACGCAAGGTACACAAACACTGATCTCTGGCCAGAGATCAGTGTTTGTGTATATTTCGCCTGCTCTTGCGAATTCCTTGCATTGTTAATATCTCTAGAAAGGCTGATGCATGCAGGGGATGAGATGAAAAGCTGTAAGCCTTCTCCCTGAAAGCTGGCTGCCTTGGATCAAAGTCTAGCGCAAGCTGGACTCCAAGGTATTGGTCCAGTGTGGGTAGATTGGTAAAGCACTGTGTACCTTGTTCCAAGGTTCGAGTCTCCTTCAGCCAGAGATCAGTGTTTGTGTATATTTCGCCTGCTCTTGCAAATTCCTTGCATATATATATATATATATATATATATATATATATATATATATATATTTTATATATATATATATATATATATATATATATATATATAGCAGATGAACAAGGAGGCTTTAGGAAAGGTAGGGAGTGTGTGGACCAGGTGTTTACAGTGAAACATATAAGTGAACAGTATTTAGATAAGGCTAAAGAGGTCTTTGTGGCATTTATGGATTTGGAAAAGGCGTATGACAGGGTGGATAGGGGGGGGGGACAATGTGGCAGATGTTGCAGTTGTATGGTATAGGAGGTAGGTTACTGAAAGCAGTGAAGAGTTTTTACGAGGATAGTGAGGCTCAAGTTAGAGTATGTAGAAAAGAGGGAAATTATTTCCCAGTAAAAGTAGGCCTTAGACAAGGATGTGTATGCACCGTGGTTGTTTAATATAATTATAGATGGGGTTGTAAGAGAAGTAAATGCGAGAGTCTTGGCAAGAGGCGTGGAGTTAAAAGATAAAGAATCACACATAACGTGGGAGTTGTCACAGTTGCTCTTTGCTGATGACACTGTGCTCTTGGGAGATTCTGAAGAGAAGTTGCAGAGATTGGTGGATGAATTTGGTAGGGTGTGCAAAAGAAGAAAATTAAAAGTGAATACAGGAAAGAGTAAGGTTATGAGGATAACAAAAAGATTAGGTGATGAAAGATTGGATATCTGATTGGAGGGAGAGAGTATGGAGGAGGTGAACGTATTCAGATATTTGGGAGTGGACGTGTCAGCGGATGGGTCTATGAAAGATGAGGTGAATCATAGAATTGATGAGGGGAAAAGGGTGAGTGGTGCACTTAGGAGTCTGTGGAGACGAAGAACTTTGTCCTTGGAGGCAAAGAGGGGAATGTATGAGAGTATAGTTTTACCGACGCTCTTATATGGGTGTGAAGCATGGGTGATGAATGTTGCAGCGAGGAGAAGGCTGGAGGCAGTGGAGATGTCATGTCTGAGGGCAATGTGTGGTGTGAATATAATGCAGAGAATTCGTAGTTTGGAAGTTAGGAGGAGGTGCGGGATTACCAAAACTGTTGTCCAGAGGGCTGAGGAAGGGTTGTTGAGGTGGTTCGGACATGTAGAGAGAATGGAGCAAAACAGAATGACTTCAAGAGTGTATCAGTCTGTAGTGGAAGGAAGGCGGGGTAGGGGTCGGCCTAGGAAAGGTTGGAGGGAGGGGGTAAAGGAGGTTTTGTGTGCGAGGGGCTTGGACTTCCAGCAGGCATGCGTGAGCATGTTTGATAGGAGTGAATGGAGACAAATGGTTTTTAATACTTGACGTGCTGTTGGAGTGTGAGCAAAGTAACATTTATGAAGGGGTTCAGGGAAACCGGCAGGCCGGACTTGAGTCCTGGAGATGGGAAGTACAGTGCCTGCACTCTGAAGGAGGGGTGTTAATGTTGCAGTTTAAAAACTGTAGTGTAAAGCACCCTTCTGGCAAGACAGTGATGGAGTGAATGATGGTGAAAGTTTTTCTTTTTTGGGCCACCCTGCCTTGGTGGGAATAATTTTACAAAAATCATTCTGAACCTAACAAAAGAAAAATATATTCATGGTGTTTGCTTATTATTAAATTATTATAAACTTATATAAAATATATTTAGTTGGATTAGGCTAAAATTGCGCTTATAATAAGGTTAGGTAAGTTTCCTAAGGTTCTTTTGGTACAAAATTATTAATTTTTATATTACATAAATGAAAAAAATTATCTTTAAATGTATAAGAGAAAATTTTAGAAGGGACTTAATTTAAATGAGTTTTTCCTAAATGACCAGTTTTACCTATTCCGCACAACTTGTATAATGTCATACCATCAAGATGTACTGTCATTCCATACTTTTATATTATTATAATTAAGGGGAAGCGCTAAACCCGTAGGATTATAGACCCTGTGGGGAGATGTGGAAGGTATTCAGGCTTAATTCAGGGAACTGAAGCATATATCCAATTCCCTAGATCAAGAGCCCCTCACCAGCGTCAAGGTGCCTCGAGGGCTCCATACTTTTATAGGAGACAGGAGACTGGCTGAGACCTCCTTGCGTCATCCGTCACATGTGACTTTTTTTTTATATTAGCAAAATTGGACATATCACTATTATTCTGCTACCCTATAGTGGATGGTACTCACACAGTGGGAACAAAGGCTAGCTGTATTTCCGTCATATTCCATCATGCAGGGTGGATAACATAGTGTTGAATATGACAACCTGAGCTAGGAGACCTCAGAAGAGCAATGAGTATATCTTCAAGTATTCCATCACAGATTCATGTGTTACAGAAAATTCCAAGGCTTCGTTCCAGGAGAGCTGGAGCTACCATTACATGAGAACTGTCGTCTTCTCTGCCATATATATAAGAGAAATGGAATTTGTATGAAGGTATCTCAATTATCCCTGAGCGGGATCAACAGAAATTATACTACTATATAGGAGACAGGAAAAAGAGGGGAGAGAGAAATTTGGATGATTACATAAGCATACAACAATGTAGAATCATCATGCCTAAGAATACATACTAGCACTAGCCTTGTGACAATCAGCCTGAACTTCATGAAATATACCCAATCTCACTTCTACTAGGCAACAACCACTAAATTTAAGCTGACCCAAGTTGGGCAGGGCTGAGCTATATTATTGAATTTTAATTCATTAACAGATCACACAGGCACCCACACTACATATACTTATGCATTATATAAATATATACCTATACATATGCGAGGGCAGATCGAAAAGTGATTGTATCCAATATTTTTTCTTGACTAAAATACAACTTAGTCGTATTGAATATTGTTCACTGGTTCCGACAATCACAAAACGACACTTACCACAAAGTCCTACTAGTTTGTTTAAGCCTTCCACATAGAAATTCTGTCGGCCAAGTAAGTAGCCATCGTCGAACAGTTGTCATCACATCATGTGTAGAAACTGTCCTTCTATGAACTTCTTCAGACCTCAACAGATGGAAATCGCTGGGGGAGAGAGAATGGGGCTGTAATTTCATTTTTTGTCATGAAAAATAATGGACGCAAAGACTTATCGATCTGCCCTCGTATACAAACATACACACACACATACATACATTAAGCATATACGTACATGCATACATAAACATATAACCGGAGAACCACTGGGCTGCTAATTAGCACAGGCCAATTCAGGATGGTTGATGGAGGATATCTTCAAGCACTCCAGAGTAGATAAAGTATTTATAAACTTCCAACTACCCCATTCCACCAGGCTTTAAAAAGTCAGTGACAATTGAACACTCACGTGGCTCGCCGACGGGGGCTAGAGTGGGCACACTGTATGGAGATGTTCAATGCTCTTTACTCCAACCAGTTCAGTAGTGTCTCGTATGCTTGGAACTCTACGTCGTCTCTATGCAGCAACGGGCGAAGATACCTGTTCACCTGTCTCTTTTCCTTGCTGCAGTATCTAATCATAGCCACAGTAAATAATCTTGTGTGAGGCCACGTCGTACCACTGACATTACTTTGTAATGTCAGTGGTGCCGGGAGGCACATTATAGGTGTTGCCCAGTGGTGTAAGCTCCATTTCTTTGCTTTACATGCTTCCCGCCTAGACGCCCCACTATCGACATATACTAGTGTCTGGAGCAGGTGGAATGCCCACGCATCACTCTGGCTCTCACTGGATATATACACCAAGAAGTGTGTGCCTCTCCAAATATCCTTATTTTAAAGATGAAGTTATTCATGTCTGGTGGTGAAATGTTACATGCAGCCTCAATGACCCTAATGTAGTGGACAGGCTTGAAAACTAATTAACCAACCCTGGCTCTCGCTCTTGCCTACACAAACCTAAGATCTATACTCAGTGTTCGTTTTTTTTTTTAAACTTTCGCTTCCAGTATACTGACTGGGTGTTGGCTACCATCGTTTGCATATTTCTCATAATAAAAATGAGACTCGCACTACTTGTGTCAACCCGCAGTACCCTCGTCACTCTTCTTCCTCCACTCTTAAAATACAATTTTCACGGGTGAACGCTAAATCCGTAGGAATCATACAGCGCCTGGGTGATGGAGAGTAATCGGATTTGATCGGGGGAGAAGGCGGGTAGTTCCAATTCCTTGGATCAAGATCCCTTTAACATCAAGGCACCCTTTCCGCCTGGTTGAAGAGTCCACTCGGACAGATAAACATACCTATCCCAATATCTATAGTAACCTTATCATCTTATCTACAACATTTAAAAGGTCTCATTTTATCTCGGAAACACTCCACATAATTTGTTAATTGGTAGTAAGGCCATGATTCAATTATTCTCCAAGGCAATTACTTATAGGTAAACTAATGAAAAGTTACATTTCATAAAAGCCGCAGAACAGAAACAAAACCTTGGAATTCCCATCCAGTACGGTAGTAAGAATAAGTTAGTTAGTTTAATATGTTTATTATGCACCCCATACCCATCCTGTGGGCGGTAGTCAAAAGATTACAGAGGTACATAATGGGTCCAGGGACTGGGCCTCAAAGTTTTGATAGCTGAGCAAGTTACAGAGGTAATGAATTCACAATTTACAAAGGTAATGAACTCACAATTTACAAAGGTAATGAACTCCAGGTAGGTCTAGTCACAATCATTACAAGTTACAAAGGTATTTACAGATTACAGAGGTACACAATGGGTCCAGGGACCGGGCTCCAAAGTTTTGATGGCTGAACTAGGTACAAGGTAAATGAACTCACAAGTTACAAAGGTAATGAACTCACAAGTTACAAAGGTAACGAACGTGATCTTGTTTATCGTGTATTTACATTACAATAATCAGCCCACTTAATGGTTGATTATATTTAAAATAATTCTAAGCATCCGAAAATTATTTTTAGCACAAGAAATATAGAAATATTAATAATTTTTACATGCGGAAACCAATTTAAAATTCTTTCTTCGTCACAACTGCACCAACAACATATATCTACGCCATAAAAATAAAAAAAACACCGTATTTCTGTCTCGGGACTACACAAAAACCGTATTTCATCGTTTAAACCGTCAAAATTATCAACATTACACCAACGGAATATGCAGCAGTAAGATTTATAAAGCAATAAGAATGGAATACAGCTGCAATGAACCATTATGAACCGTAATACCATTAAGTTACTCTAGTAAAAGAAAATAGTTGGTCTTAATAGACGCTGACGCAATACGTGATAAGAGCATCGGCGGATATCCCCAGCCCACAGCTGTGCTGTTCCTCTCCTCAACACCCCTCCAAGACTAGGCTTTAACACACTAGCTCCAGTACTCTCATCATTCACAGCCCCCCCCCCATAAAAAAAAACACGCACTGCCATACACAAGTGTTTCTAAATGACCCTGTCATAGCTATATATATATATATATATATATAAATATATATATATTATATATATATATATATATATATATATATATATATATATATATATATATATATATATCACCTTCCCAAAACATAGTAAGGGTTTCCAATACATGATATATATATATATCACACTGCCATACACTTTAAGCTTTTCCAATACAACTGTCACCCTGCCATACATGCTAAGCTTTTCCAATACATGATATATATCACCTTGTCATATATATATTAAGCTCTTCCAAAACATGATATACTGTATATCACCCTGTCATACATACTAAGCTTTGAATTTTAACAAACTGAACTTGTCCTTTACGCTCTTCACTGATCAATCTTTTCGAATGCACCTTAAGCATTACACTGCTAAATACCTTAGATTAGGCTAGGTTTGTTTTATTTACTCTACACTACCCAACGTAGCACCCAGAATGACCAAAGATTACCAACAGTGAAACCTACAAATCGAAAATAATAGAGATCAAAGGAAGACTGCCCACAAACCGAAAGCAACACCCCGCTGCCAGCCGAACAACGTAACCCTAAGCTTTGTATAACTACAACTTCTTCTTAACTACAACAATTCCTGTAGTATTATGAGGCGCAATCTAAGAGGAAACAGCACCAAGGCCAGCAAGAAAACACCGAAAAATCAACTATTCAACAAGTGTAGCCAGAGGACGCCGGCCCAGCAACCACCCCACTCACCACCACTCAAGGCGACACCACAATAATAACAACAAACATGGCTGCCACCAGCCCATTCTCCCCTCTCTTCCCCGGATTCAACCTACCAAGTAGTCTCTCAGGTATGACCAACGATCCAGATACCCTAAAAACATGCATCTCCAACTTAGTTATTGAAAATATGAATCTTCGAGAGACGCTAACAAAACAAGACACCAGGATGACACAACTCGAGAACAAAATCCTCAGTCTTGAACAAAAGTTATCAACACCAGGAATGACTAACTGTGACAAGACCATCCAAGCAGTCATAGATAGCTATACCCAACAAATAATATCTCTTAATACAAAGGTTGAAGAAGCAGTAAAAGAATGGAAGAACAACTTAGATAACCAGTTCAGTGACTACTTTGCACTCCAAGAAGATAAAACTGAGCAAGATAAACTATCGGACGCAGTAATAGTTAACAGTCCACTTTTTCCCAGTGATATGAACCAAACAAACAGTAAAGAAATTACTCTGCAGATCGTAAAGGACCAAACAAGTGTTATTGTACCAGAGTCAGAAATAAAAGAAGCCAGGTTACTAGGATCCCATGGTAGAAAAGGTGTTATGCTTAGATTCCACTCACATGACAGGAAAAAAGACTTAATTATTGCATCTATTAAAGTAAAGAAAGAGGTATACATAAACGAGTGTCTTACCAAAAAACGTCAGACCCTCCTGTATAGAGTCAGAAAACTTAAGCGGGAGAATAATGACACAATACACCAATGCTTCACACGAGATGGGAAAATTCTTGTTAGAAAACAAATGTAGGTCAACTGTACACAATCACGAACGAGAATGATCTATCACGATTTCTCAGGGATACTAATCTTACAGAGAATAACTAAACAATGTCCAACCTAAAAGCCTACGTAGTGTAGTGTATGTTTTGCTCCATTATTGTTCAAATTTCATTGTACAATCTCTTAGTAATTAAATAATCAACTACCTCATTTTGTGATTTACTAGTAAGCATAAGTCACCTTATGTAATTTTCTTATTTACTATTGTTTGCTTAAACATTAGCTGAATTGATACTTTGTCCATATTACTACCTCATATTTTTTTAAATACTATCAATTGATATTACTTACTAAAATTAATAATTATCATTTTTACTATAATTTCAATTTACTCTTAACATTTTTGACATTTAATAACCATTACTTGTCTAATTACCTTTACCTGTTTTAATACCACATTTACTATCTTAGAGTACTCTTAATTACCTTGTACTGCCATATAACCTCTAGTATAACTACCAGTGCAATATTGAATGAAATAAACATTACTTTTTCACTTTTTTGTAATCATTATTACTTACTAAAAATTTATTAAACACCATATTTACTACCAGTCAATTTTACTTTTGTACATTAAACATTATTTTATACTTCCCATAACATTTTGTTGCCAAATTTTCAAGTTTGTATATTCAACTCCAACCTTTATATTATACTTTGTACCTGTGTACCTGTCTACCATCTTACTATCATATTATAACCAAGACATTACCCTTGTTATTTTTTACTATTATTTTTTTGGTACTTTAATTGTGAATTATATTTTGTCAATTTTAAATCTAGTTATACTCCTGATCTTGTCAACAACCTATACCATCTCTAGTGCAATTGCAAGTACCATTTCAATTTGTATTTTTATTATTATAAGTTTATATTATAATTCCTACTCTAAGATTGTTTTCATATCTTAGTGACTATATTGTGTGTGCAATTAGTGTATATTTCAATTATATTATTGTTCAAGGCCCTTTAACTATCTTTTGCTAACTAGTACCAACTACCTCATATATTTTTTTTTCTACTTTTTTTTATTCTTTTGCTACCTTAACTTGTATATTT